CCATACCCCACAACTATTTTGGGAAGCGATTTCAAATTTCCACTCCCTTCTTTGTGAAATACACACATTGATGAACTTTCTTGTTACCCCAACTTTTGTCAGCTTATTGCCTGATTTTTTTGTCTTAAATCCTGCATTCTGGGCAGGTTGAGGTTTTAACTTTGATTCATTTGCTTAAAAGGTTGGAAAATGCCTGCTAAATGATCGTGTGTATCTAATTAATTATGCTGACTACCAATTTGATGTTGGTCATTGGTGCTCGTGGTGTGACGCACTTGAACATCCTGGAAACCTGTAATGTACTCATCTACAGGGCGCTGTTGTTTGCGGACAATGAGTTCGTGTACGCACACTTCACTACTTTCACTGAATGCAATGGTGGCAGGCACACTCTGGGTAATTTCTCAAGGCAATGCTTCGATGAACGCAAGTCAACTTGCACGGTTTTTAAAATAAAAAATCAAAGCTTGACAGTTAACTGTCAATTATCGTCTCACTGGTGCATTCCCCACAACAATGCCCCAACCAATCACAGTGCACTTATTAACACACTCCTGTTGTGTCGTACAAACATCGTTCTTCCTTAACATTAGTATTTTTTGTGATTGTCCTGAGGAGTACAAAACAAACGTAGCATTGCTCAACAAAAGACATTTTGTCTATCAGAACTTACTCAAACTATGGAGTTCCTTTAGAATTGACAATACAATCGATTTTGCGTATGTGGATGCGCAACTTTTAACATCCTTCACCATCTCCGCATGTTAAATCAATGGTTAAAATATTTTCCCATCCCCCTCACCAAAGGGAAGTATTACTCTCTCAACCTACTCTGTCTGATATCATTCCGGGGAATCTGCACTTCTCTCTGTCTGGGGCTAATATCTCCTTTCTGAAGCATGGTGGCCACAAATGAACAGTGTAATCTTTCCTCCTTCCAGCTGGTTTTTACATCCTGCAAAAGCTCTGAAGTAAACTAAGAAACATTCCACTTCGTGAGATTCCTTAATTTTCCACCCTTGCCTTTTTTTTTGAAGTTTTGCTTTGCTTCTCAACATTAATGATTGTTCCCAGGGCTTTGGAGAGGCTACAGGGGAGATTTACCAGAGCGGTCCTGGGGCTGAGGAGTTTCTGCTTATGCGAAGAGATGAAAGAACCTTCCCTGAGAAGTTTAAGGGCCAGATTTGATCGAGCTGTTGCAAATCATGAGGTGGTTGGGGGTGGGAGGGTGGATGCAGGGTTTCAATTAATTAAAAAGCAAGAAACCTTTTCCGAGGCCTGGAGGATCAGTAACCAGAGGGCCATGGATTGAAGAGAATTGGTTTTTAAAAAAAAAGACCAGAGGAGGGGATGATAATTCCTTTCATTCTAGCAATCTAGAATGTGCTGCGTAAAGAGCTGGTGGAGGCAGATTGAGTATAAATTTCAAAAAAAGGACTTGTAGAAATGTTTGCAAAGGGTATATTTGCAGAGGACGAGGGGTGCGTGAGTGGGACTTTTCAAAGAACTAGCATAGCACTGAGGGTCTAAGCGGCTTTCAGTGCTTTATGATTTTTTTTTTTTGACAGGGTCACGTTGTGATGTGCAATTCCTCATTGTTCAGCTGTTTCTGGTTCTGTTTGCAGTTTTCACGCTGTGTTTTCCGGCCATTTTCCTCCTCGGGCTCTTGCCTCAAGTCAACACTTTCTTCATGTACTTGTTGGAACAGCTCGACATGCATGCCTTCGGGGGCACTGGTAAGTCTAGTCACCTCCAGTCAACCCTCGTATTTCATGTGATGTTTGAGCCCGGATTGTATCGGCCGAGAGCAAGGAGAGAGATCTGTGCACTGCTTCACCTTTTCTTCCACCCCCTCCCTCCAACTCCCCTTGCGATTTCTTCCTCTTTCTCCATCACTGAGTGGGATGAGGGTGAGGACTAATGTCAGGACCACTGGTCCTGAGGTAGCACGGAGCCAACCGGCAGGGATTTGTTGCGCGTGAAGTTCTGTTCCGGAGACAAAACAGGACAAGTTCAAGAGCTCTGTACTTTGCCCTAATTCACGCTGTCTTGTTCTATCCGCAGCTACGACCAGCCCCATGTCTGCATTCTACAGCTTTGTGCGCAGTCTACTGGTCGCTGCCCTCCTGTACGGATTCTGCTTCGGGGCTGTGAAGGTAGATCGGTCAGAGGGCACTGGGTGAAGGAAGGGATTGGGGTGAGCAGTGGGGGGGGATCATCACTGGTTGTATTCCTACACAAAGCAAGATTGTCCAAAGACTCTCCCCTTGTCCTCAGGACATTTGCTTCATTGACCTTGGCTCGATCTCTAAAGTCAGAACTGGAGCTGTTCTCTGATTGCAAATGTTCCGTATCTTTCTCAACTTCTCAAATACTGAGGCCGTCCCTGTCCCTGCACAGCAACACTTGAACTGATGAAAGTCAGATAAGGTTTGTGCCCACGAGTGCCATGCATTGATCATCTCAAACCCTCAAGAGTCTAAACGTTTACCATTGACGAGTCCCCTCCTACCAACTTCCGGTAGGTTACCATCAACCAGAAATTAAACTGGACCTGCCTTCAGAATACTGTGGTTATAAAAAGCAAGATGCACTGCAGCAACTCAACCAGGCTGCTTTTGACAGCATTTTCCAAACCTTTTAAAGCCTAGCAGGACAGGGCAGCAGGGACAGCACCTGCAAGCTCCCCCTCCAGGTCCTGTACCATCCAGGTGGTAGTTCTATGAATGTTATTGCATCAGAATCCTGAAACAGCGTTTTGATGGCACTTAGGATTTATCTACAGTCGTGTGGGCTGCAGAGGTTTGAGATGGTAGTTGACCAGCACCAGCTCAAGGCGCAGTTAGGCAACGTCAACAGGCGCTGCCTTGCCAGCGATGCTGGCACCCCCAAATGAATACATATAAAGGGGGTATCGGAGGAGACAGGGCATCAGCGAGAACATTGGGGAAGTCGGGCTCCAACAAAGAAGATGGGCAGAGTGGCTTCTTTTTGTGGTATCTCATTCTCTCTCTCCAACCACTCCCCTGCACAGGTTCCTTGGGAAGCCCAGCACGTGCCAGTTTTGTTTTCCGTTTTCTGTGGCCTTCTAGTCGCACTTTCGTACCACCTCAGCCGACAGAGCAGCGATCCCACCACCCTGTGGTAAGTGGGCAGCTGGGGAGAGTTTACTTTTCTCCTTGACCAGTCTGCAATCGAGGTATTATCTGTATTGATCAAGGTCACTGGCCTTCACTTTGTCGCTGATGTAGACTTGCCAAAGCCCTGGGAGAGCTGCGCTGCAGGAGCTGACAGCCTTGCGGGGAAAGAGAGTTTAGGTGAAAGACCTGTTTAGGTTTTTGCGATGGGTGTGAGAGAGAATCTTATGGCCTCTGTGGTAAGAAGAGCAAAAAGTGTTCTCTGTTTATTCCTTGAGCAACACTTTGCTTTAAAAGAAAGAAAGGCAGTCTGGCCATTAGCTCACTGCAGTTTGTGGAAGTTTACAGAACACCAATGTTTCTGCTGAGCTTCCTGCACTCTAATAATGGCAACAATTGGGAAGTGCATTGTTGACTGTAACCCTGTGGGGCATGCTGAGGTTGTGAAGGTGCTGCACAGGTTATAAACTAGACTTCTGTTTTACTACGGCCTGTTGGGAGGCTGTGGTTACAGCATAACCTGTTTACATAAACCGTTCTCGTAGGCAAAAGATGTACAGGGTGTTGGCAAGCCGCACGATGTCAGTGAACAGAGGGTCGAGGATGAGCCATCGCTATTCCTCCCTCAATGAGGAAACCCAAATCATTAACTCTGTCTGTGCTCATTCCGATAACCACAGGGCCCTGATCCGCTCCAGGTTTTTCCCCCAGTTGGACAATCGTAATCCTGAGGATCCGCTGCTGGAAATCCAGGACCCACTCCCAGCAAAGCTCAAGAGCTCCGTGGTAAGTCCCTCAGCCTGCAGGGTTGGACCTGATCTGTTCATGGAGCTGTTGTGTGTCGTGTGTTTCAGTCCGTGACCACCTCAAGCCTAGATTTTCTCTCCAGGTCTGGGCTAATCCACGTTGAGGCTTGGAGTAACTCCAAGGAAAATGATTAGAGAAGTATTCCACAGCTCTCTGCCCACAAGTCCAGGCTTGGTTCCCACAGTTGAGAGGCTCCTCGGCAAGTGCTGACAAGGATCCTCCAATTGTGGGGGGGCAGTGAGACACTGCAGTAGCTTCCCCTCACCTCTAATCCTTGGCTTCTTATCCATCCTTCCTTCCTCCACCCACCCAATAGCATCTCTTCCCTCCCACCGTTCCCCCCCCGCTCTTGCTTTTACTCATTCTCACAAGTACTGCTCAGAGTGAGCGATCGTCCAATTCTGCTCGGTAGTTTATTATCTCTCTGTCTCCCTTTTTCTCCCTGCATTTCTAGAGAGAGATCCTTCATTCAGACCTGGTCATGTGCCCGGTGATCGCCATCATAACCTTCGCAATCAGTGCCAGCACGGTCTTTATCGCACTTCAGGTGGGTGTTCTGTATCTCACCTCTCACTCAGCCAGAAAGATCTGATGTGCCTCACTCAATCAGCTCCACAGGCAAGACACTCTTCTCGTGTTTTATTGGTACTGTATGGCAGAGTTACACAGTCAGACCTGTCCCCACCAGTACTGTTACCCCAGTGTTATACAGCGACAGACCTGTCCCCACTGGTACTGTTATACAGTGATGAACCTGTTCCCACCAGTACTGTACCCCAGTGTTATACAGCGACAGACCTGTCCCCACC